ACTCACTCGGTGTCACAGCACCTCCAAAAGAAAAACCACAGGCATGAATAATTGTGCACCCGTTGCATTTGCATTGTTGTGACCGCGTGTGCGGGCTTTGGACAGGCTACACTTATAAAAATATAGTACTAGAAAATATTGCCTAAAATAATACCGTCCAGTTTCAAATTTGGAAAAAAATACAGGAGCATGATTTTGAAAATGGAACAAAATCTTATTAATATTAGTTGCTGTTCTACAGACTTTTTCAAAATAAAGGTTGTTATGTTATGAACAGTTCCATAAACTATTTAAAATCAAATTCAGAAGTAAATCCTTTTGATCTTCTTTGCTAAAAAATGCTTTATTTACACATTTAATAGACATTTGATCTGAGAAAAAAAATGGTTTTTATTTATCAAACCTTTAAATAATATTTTCTCTTCTAAAGAATTCTTTCATAGCCCCTATATAAGTATTAAGATATCAATTATAATTAGTTCAGTATATTTTTTTTAGTGGTTAGGAGGCAGGGGATCGCTGGATCGACGCAACTCACACCCGGCTGTGGCCGAGAGTCAAACAAGATTGAAATTTATTGCCCTGACAAAGTCCAAACAAGTGCAGGCGACACAAAAACTACAAAAAATATAAAGCAAACAGCGGACAATTGCCAATGGAACGACTTGGATCTGCAAATGCAACGGCAGCTGCCGCTGTTGCTGGGCGTTTGCAAAGGGGGCGTGGCAGGTAGAGACCAACAACAACAACAGGGGAAAAAACAACAAGTGGCGACATTTTGGCCCGCAGTTGCATGTGCCGCTAATTTACGGCAAATTTATTTGGAGAAGGATCAGGCGAACGGGGCGTATGAGTGATATTTCGAGGTGGCTTTTCGGCGATCTTAAGTCCGATTTTACTTCACTGTCCACCCGGTTTTGTTGCTAGTTTCATTTGTTGTCTGTGGCCAAAGCAATTTGTTCATTTGCATATGACAAGAAAAGCAGACCAAAACAAAGCAAACAAAATTGCAAATTACCAAGCGATCCGTGTCGTTACATTTTGATCTAAATTCACTTTGCATTGTTTGGGCCATCGCATAAATTTGCCAAGCGGCAGACGAGTCGGTTTCGGATTTTTAATGTGGGTCAGCCAGTCAAACAATAAAATACAAAATCTTTTTACTATAAATTATGGAATTGCCTTTGGCAAAACCTTGTTGCACTCAATACAATAAAGAGTAATTTATCTAAAACGCATAGAAAAAACAATACTAACTTTTATAGATACAAATTGAAGTCACTATAAAATATAGTGAACATATATTTTATTTAATTGTTGTTGAAAAATGTGTTGATGAAAAGTTAGATACAAATTGAAGTTACTACAAAATGTAGACATAATAATAATAGTGGTTAAAAAAGTATTTATGTAGGCTTAGAAAAGTCAAAAAGGTGTGCTTGTAAATCAAATTATAATGTTATCTATTAATCTACAAAACAACAGGTTAATTCATTGCAATTTAAAGCCCATCAAAAGCGGCGGCCGGGATTTCTTGAGTTGCATTTAAGCAATTTCTTATTGCCAATTAATGAACACCATTAAATTTTTGCAATCATGCGTCTACAAATTGGTGCGGCGAATATTTGCAAGTTTTGAGCTTGGCAGTTGGCAATTAAAATTGCAATTGCAGACTCTCAACCGTCGCAGTATCTATATCTCTGACTGGGTTTTTGGTCCCAGAGCGACATGAGCAGCGCTTGTAATGCGCAAAATACATAATATACGGGCCGAGCGGGCTAAGGAAAAAATATACACAAAATACATATAAATTAATTAAGTTGTTGCACAGCGTGAAGCGCTCAATTACGAGTCCAAGATGAGGGGCGAAAATCGGGGGCTATGGCGGCAGAATGTGTCTGAGAAAAATGCAACTAGGCGATGCAACTTGTTGTTGCCATCTGGGTTTTTTTTTTGGTTTTTTATTGGCCGCTAAATTAATTGCCTATGAAGTTTAGCTTAGACGAGTGGCTAACTTTTTGGCAAATGTCAAATTAAAAACGTATTCCATAATGCCAAAATATGAAGCCAAGCAATTAGCCGCAGGCTGTTGATTTACGTCTGTGACTTCAAATATATTTTGCAACCTGTTGCAAGTCGGCCTAGGACCATTTTTGGCGGCTAACAGCTTATTTCTGGCTCTTTTCTCCGGGGAATCGTCGAACCAAAAGGGAGACATACATAAAGTCAATTTTTGATATATACGTTTTGACTTACAAGTTAACTACTTTGGGATTGCAACTTTTGATGCAATTTGACCGCTTTAAAATAAGATTTATTGAGTCTTCCCGCTTAAAAGGTTTTCCAAAAAAAAGTCAAGCTATTTATTATTAAATTGCATTAATTTTATCCCCAATTTAAAATTGTTTATATAAAGAATATATTATGACCTGCACAGAGAAAATTCTAACGCTTTCATCAGAGTTGAAAATGTTCTTAAAAGTAAAACGACATATTAAAATTGAAAATTTTTTTATTTTGCTTAAATCAAGTTGAATTGGCGCTATTTGCATAGTATATCTCAACAAATAAATTATTAGTCCAGTCAGTAGTGTATACTTATCAAAAAGTTGTTAAATAAACGGTTTTTAAGAACGAATGTTCTCAATTCAAGAACAATGTTCTTGTATATTTTTCTCTGTGAGCTGAAAAATAACTTGTTCGTTCATTTTAGTGATCCAAATTATTAATCATTTGCGTAAAAGTAAATTTAATAATGATAAAATATGGTTTTTACCCAAGAGTAATATAAGTTAGCTGCTCTATTATATTTTTCGCTTTAATTTCCCATGTTTGCAGCAACAGTTTTTTTGATTAAGCACACATAACGAGCCATAAATAATTAAATTAATTAAAATTTAAATTTATTGCGCCGTGTGTGCGGTAGACAATGTCCAAGCGGCATTTTTGGCCGGGGCTGCTCTGGCCAGCGGAGCACGCGGCGTATGCGCAATGTGGCACACACGGCGGCCGCTGCATTTTTGATGGCGGTTTTGGGCCTTGTTTGATGCGACGACCGTGATAAGGCGACAATTGTCAACAATTTTATTAGTTCGACGGTGGCCCACCGTCCACCGTCTGAGCCAATCACAAAAATGGCCAACTCTGACCATTTCGAGCGGCTTTTAAAGTTCGCCTTTGCCGTATGCCATTGGAAATGTTTTTACCAGTTGGTCGTTTTGTTCTATTTGCTGCTCACACACACAAAACACGCAATTTGTTGGGGATTTTTTTGTATTTGTTTGATTTGCTCATTCTGGTTTTCATTTGCCGTCTGATTGCAAATTGTCTCTAGTTTCGTCGAGTTTGAGGTACGATTTGGCAAATCGTGTGCGTTTCGCAGGCGGCTCAGTTTTATTTTTTTCAATATTTTTTGCCGGACAAAAACATTTAAAAAGCCTTGAACCTATTGCAGTTCAAATGGGATGAGAAAAAATACCCTCAAAATTAGTTCTTGGAAGTAATAAAAAATTTGCTGAAACAGAAAGGATCGAAAAAGGCTTTAAAAGTCATCAAATAAATGTTTAAAAATTCTTTGGTTTACCCCTTTCTTATCCTTTTATAATTTTTTTAGCTGCTGACAGCCATGACCACATGGCTTTTATTTAATGTGTGCCTTGCAGCATTTCAAATGTCATTTCTGAGATATTTTCATGTCTCGAAAAGCAGCCCACGCCGGCACGTACGCACATATAGATTAAATTTAATGCGCACACACAGAGCAGACATTAATTAAAATGATTAAGTGAATATATTTAAATGCTGATCTCTACCCCCTCATATTTTTTTTCAGTGTACGGCAAGCGGGTGATTTCGCGTTCCTGCTTCTACGAGGACATGGACGATTCGGCGGACAAGTGCGCCAACGACCAGACCTCGTCCTACATAAAGACCGTCTACTGCCGCACCTGCACCACCGACGGCTGCAACGGAGCCAGTGGCTCCACCCCGCTGCTCCTGCTCCTCGTGCTGCCCCTCCTGTTGGCCACCTCCTTCAGGCACTTGCCCCTGTGCAAATGAGCCAACGGATCCGGCCCAAACCGGACTTAATTAAGGAACTGCAAGCTGGCCGGGAGTTTCGGTGCTTAGCCCGGACTTAACTGAATTTCTTCAACGAGTTTTTAGTCACTTTGTCACCCCCACGAATCTGCACAAATCAATTACACAGGAGAACGGGTTGCCGTCAGCTGGAGAAATGCTTTCTCATCGAGGGTCATCCATTCGACATCGTCCTTGTAAATGTTACTCGGTCACTCGGTCACCGTCACCTCTCACCCACGAAAATCAAAAAGTTACTCGTAGTCACAACTCTACACCCTTCATTAAACACTCGATCACACACTTAACTTTGTTGTAATTTGTACATCTTTGTAATATTTTTATTATTGTACTTGTAATTGAAAGGGTGATGCCTTCGATTGCTGCCCTACGTAAATAAATAAATCATATTTAGATGGTATGAGAGGTGTATATTTATTGGGGTTTTAAGAGATTGGTTGCAAATTTGGTACGTGTTGGGTTTTATAAAAAGCGATTAAATTTCGCCTTACTATGGTTTGAAACCTTGCCTAAGAAGCAAGGAAAATGAATTCATTTTGTATAAAAGCCCCAAGTTGTAGATTCCTGATTGGTAATAAACTCAAATAAATAAATAATTTAAAAATCAATAAGCTCATATTTCATGAACTAAACTATCAACCATACAAATAAATAAATGTTTTCATGTTTTTACAACATAATTTTACAATCACTCGAGTACCTACAAAAAGAGACGAAGAGATAAAAATAAATTAAATTTGATTCCCTTTTTCGGCATATAAATTTTTATTTAATTAGCTATATAAGTACTATTCAATTACTGTTGCCTACACCTTATTTTCGATATTCTTAATATTTGGCAATAATTTCCAGCCGAGTAGAGTTAGAGTACAAAATAAAAAATACAAAAATTTTTAATCACAGTTGGCTGTGTTGTCTTACTTACTTTCCTTCTACCCCGACCTACAAAATGTGGACGCCACCCAAAAAAAAATCCGCTCCCACCCGCGCGTTGCCCAAGGACGCGACCAACTCTGCGAATACGTTGCCCTTGTGGAGTCGCCTCCTGGACCACAATGCGGATGGTTGTCAGCGGCGGAAAAGTGACGACAAGCAGGCGAACTACGAGGTGGAGGTCGCCGACCGGTTGTGGTCCTTGTGGGGCACCGCCCACCAAGTGGAGCCCGAGGGGAGTAGCACCTCCGCAGAGTCCGCAGCCGGAAGGACCTCGGCTCCCGGCAAGATCCTGGCCTGCTGTGTGGTAGCCTGTTGTGCTGGCAGTTTCCATTCACTGGACCACTGGGACACCCGGCTGTTGGACACGATCCTGGTGAATGGTGAGAATTACTACGATGAAAGTTTGGCGGCCAGGCAGCGCAGGGATTTAGTGGGCGAACTCTCACTGGAAACTTTGAACACCTTTTGCTGTCTGGATGGTCGCAACTTTTGGGTGGACATCGAGAAATTCTCCGTCGGCAAGTTGTACAACAAAACCAAGAGCCTGGGATCGGCATTGAGTGCGTTCTTTGCCCAGCACCTGCAAACGGGGATCCTTCAGCTGAGGGATCAGGCTCTGGCCTTTGGCTTCATACCAGAGTATGCCTCAGGGGGAGCCTTCTTCCTCTTCCACTGCCAGGCGAAGGGTAAGCCCCTTTTTAAGGACTGCGAGAGTGCCCCCTATGTCCTCAGGATGCGAAAGCTGCAGCAGCTCCTCTACTGTATGCTGATCACCTTAAACGAGCGACGACGCAATGTGCCTTTCAGGATCTACAAGGTTGGGTGTGTTCCCAGTGCTGATTAGAAGAAACTTTCAAAATTGATCGGTGTTCAAAGAGGTTAGATAAAGATTCCTAAATTCCAAGTTTTTAGGTATGTCTGTAGCCCTTTCTCTCTCGAATTCCCAATCTAAAATAAATCACAGCTGATCCAAATGGAATAAATACACGACTGTTTACTCTGATAGCCATTAACATATAACACATACGGAAATTCAGGGGTTACTTATTAACTAAATATTTTCACCGACTATTATTTATTACTATTGTAAAACTTAGCAAGATACATCTATATTATATCTAATTTATTAATACTAAACTACTTAACTATATTAAGCTGATCTATAAGTAAAACGCTTTAGGAAAAGTACACTTAAGTTAAGGTGATGTCATCAGTCACATTACACCCCGTTCTTTATAGTATAAAGACCAGTGCATATAGTCACCGACTTAAGCTCTCGTAACCCACATTAAAAATACATTTTGCCAGGCAAATCAAAAGTAATTGTCTCACTTCACTGCGCTTGACATTGCATTTGCTTTGAGGAACAAGCGATCGCCTTCTGGCAACAGTTCATCATATTACATATAAGTCTTTATATATGTGAATATACTCATTTATGTTCGCCGAGCGGAAATGAGTTCAGCTTGTCATTCAATTGGCGAATTTTGTTAATTGCCAACCACGCAAATTTAAAATCTCCGCCAACTCTTTTCTTATTTATTTCGAATCTTTTGGTGACTTTTAACCCCCTTCAATTGAGCGTAGGATTTGCAGAGTTCACAGATTGAATGCAAAGACAAATTGCTACTAAATTTCGGGTGCCGCCCGGTAGCGTGATAATTCCATTATGCTTTAATTAAAATCGCATAAAACCAGCGGTGTATATAAATAAAATTTGTCACATGGCACGAAAAGCGAAGGCTGTCATAAAAAAGAAAAACACTTACAACATCGAGTGAAATAACGCAAAATAAATAAATACATATATCTATAAAATGGGTGGCAACTAAGCTGCGAATAAAGCGTTTTGGCCATTTAAACTTGTCGCACGGCTTTTATTTGTTTTTTGGGTTTTAGTTTTTTTTTCTAGTTGTCGTTGGCTGGCGAAAATGTCGTACAGAGTTTCCAATAAAACTGGCCATTTATCATGGGGCAGCCGCTTTGGAAAAAATATATATTGAGAATCGACAATCGAATGTTACGCATACGCCCCGGAGGGCAGCTGTTGGCTGTTGGTCGCTGCGCATGCGCAGTCAGCGATTCGAATGCGATTTTCCACCGATCAGGCCTTAACCCCGGCTATTCTTGGCCCGATCCTATCCGATCCGATCCAAACCGATTCGATTGGCGGGTGCGTGCGCATTTTTCACGCTTTGTCAAACTTTGGCTTCGAACTACTGGGAGGAGGAGGAGCAACTATAGTAATGCCGCTGATTAGTGTCAAGATTTGCATACGAAATCGTATATCTGCCAGGTGCGTGTGTCGCCAATTTGGTAAGAGTGTTGCCAAATTTGGCTAATTCCGTTGAGTTGCGGTTGCCAAATGTTGTGCCACTGCGTCCTGCACTCATGAATCATTTTTTTGGCCTGATGTGAATCATTTTTAATGGCTAGCCGCATTCAAATCTAAATATGTCAGCTGCTTAATGAGGGGGAAGTGGTTAAAGGTATTAGGTGATTTACATCACTTGAGGAGTGCTGCTAATCGATTGTGCGCAAGTTAATTCGATGTTAAAAATTGTTTTAAGTCTTGTTCTTTTTTTTGGAATAACTTGTTTGAAATATGCGCTTAAAAAGAAAAGCTCTTATTGCTTCGGGTGAAGTCGTCACTTAGCCGAGACACAACCCATGTTGTTTTAGGGTGACCATGCTGGGACCCTAACATTTTTTTTTTAATTATCAGAATTAAATTTATTAATTTAAGGAATTCAGCGTTGCTACTAGCAAATTCACGCCTTTTCTCGATTTTTCATAAAGTTCGTTTTTAAGGGTCTTTTTTATTTGTTTTTTTTTAGTTTAGCAAATTAAGAATTTAGTTGAATTTTTTTTTAAAGAAAATAAAAAGGTTGCCAGCTTGTGAAAAATATGACTTACATCCATGGAACAGGAACAACACTTGGCGCCTTAATTCAAAAATGTTGAATTTGTTTGGCTTTATAAAAGTTACAGCACAGTGGAATATAGCGAGCTTGAGGGGTGTTTCTTCTTTTCTTCGTTAAAATGCACTTTTTAAACGTTTTTAGTTGAAGTTTTTAATTTCGGGGCACTTTATATGGACATCAAACGGCTATCTTAAAGGTCATACATATTTTTTCTTAGATTTTTTTTTATATGCAAAATTATTTACAAAATCATATTAAGAACTTTATCTAAAACTCCTTATTGCACTTAAAGGATGGTAAATGTTATTTAATTTTAAAACCTGTTTTCCGGTTCCTTTTGGTAAGTGCCAATAAGTGTAAAATTTAACACCTTGTAAATTGCAAAATAAATCTTCCATGCGTACTACATGTAAAACCCTCGTTTTATGAGAGGAGTCAGAAACATATTTATTTATATTTTTATTTGTTTAATGTTATTGGCTTCTACAAAACTATATACCATCGACTATTTACTATAACATATTTTGTAATTATTAATAAATTCAAATATAATAAACATTCAATTATTAAAACATGTATATTTATATATTATTATTTACCCCACACACTTATCTCTATAGCTTGTTTGATTTGTTTCTCAACTATTATAACAATACTGTGCCAAAAGCAACGTAATCAATTAAACAGCATTGTTTGTTGCTCCCTAGAGAAATGAAAAAAAAAGGGCAAACGACTGGCAAAAACAAAACCACCAAATGCGTGAGTCTGGCTGGCTGTCTGGTGGGATTCTTCGGGTCTCTCAGGAAGTTAAAAAAAATAAAGGGCTGGCAGGGGTTTCCCCAGGAGCCGAGGCAACAACAACTGCACTGCCGGCAGCGAAGCGGCTGCGCTGCCAGAACTTTCAGTATTAAGACTTTGGCACTCTGGCGAAGAAGCCTCGGCAACATCCACAGTCGTTCCTCGGCCGAGCAACCGTCTGCATCGCGCGCAGCTCTCGAAGCGATTTCGAAGCCCCACAGGCACCAGACCCCTTTGAAGGATATATAGTATACCCATCTCCACAGGCGCCGCCAAGTCGCGTTCCGCGTCCCCAAAGGATTCCCATAAACATTCCAAGAAAACAATGTCAGCGGTGCCGATGAAAGCCCTCCTCGCTGGCGTTTTCCTGCTGGCCAATGCCTGGCACATCACAGGTGAGCAACATCTAAAAGGTGATGTGTCGATCAGTAAATAAAACACTCTTTATCTCCTTGTAAACATGAAACCCGCAAGAGCTGGTCAAATTTTTCATATATTTTCGGTTATGCACAGAGAAAAATCTCATACTTATACCGTGTTTTTGGCATTCATAAAGTTGAAATTGATTAAATACGGCTTAAAAAGAATCAAAAGTTAAGATAATTCATAATATTATATCAACAAAAAATAGACGCTCGTGAAAATCCATATTCTATTTCAAGAGCACTATAAATATTATATTACTTTAAAACGTGTATTAATCAATAAAACCAAAAAAGAATATCATACAGAACAAAAACTTAAATGAAAGATAATTTCATAAAAATACAAAATACTATATTTACATTTATAGAGCTATCTACTAGATTGATAGATAGTATCCAAATCCATAACTAGAATTCGTTCCTGTGCACCTGTAATTTCATCTGCCCCACAAGGTCGCCGATCCGCATAAAGTTTGAGGTGTGATGGTTTTTCTACTAAGAGCCCATGAATGAAAATTGTTTTCAATTTTCTCCCATTTTGTTTATGTAGTTTTTCCGCCAGCTATTTAACGATTTTCCCTTGTTTATGCGAATTCTCAAAATTTTGGCTTACAACTAAAAAAGTTTCAGGTGGAAGCCATTTAATATACTTAAAACTTTTATGTTACTCGTGATTCTAAAGAGAGATTTATGATCGATACTCTGAGTGATGGAGGTTTCTGGTGTTTTTATTTGTCGTAAACAAATTAATATCGAATGGGTGGAAAATAATGAAATATTAATAGGCGGCGATGTGGTCTTTAATATAGAAAGTGCTCAGTTGTTTATTTTGCGTTGAAACACGTGTGGAAAGAGGAAAGACATTTGAAAATGATGAAGAAATGTGATTTATTGCGAGAGGTTAACCCAATTTATACTGGCAATATGCTGAATATATATTGCCAATTTTTGTTTATTACTGTTATATTTATTTCCCATGTTATTACTTATAGTTTTATCATACCTGCTGAAAATTAGGTAAATTGAAATATTTGTTACATCTTTAAACAATATTTATTGTTGAAATATACTCGCCCTTCCTGGATTCTTTAGTATATGATTTACTACTTTAGAAGTATATTTTTCGGGTGTAATAACAATTCTAAAATTTCCAAATATAAAGAAAATTTCCTCATCTAGTATAGGAAACATTCTTGGGTCATTGCTTTCTTGATGAACATCGCTAAATATATACACGTGCATTTTCGCATTTCGGTGATTTTCACGCCTTTGAATGATTGGCAACCTGCACGCCTTATAAATACAAATATTCCCCCGACTGCCAGACATTTCCATATTTATATCCACAGGCATTTTCGGCTTGATTCACTTGATTTGCCAAACAGAATGAAAACAGCAGAATGCAGTTTCCACAATTGCATGGTACGTTAAGTATTTTCGAATCGCCTCTGATGATGATGAGAGTAATTGGGGATTGTGATTGGGTCATTAGGTGGTGAATCGAAGCAGCAGCTCCTGCTCCCTGTTGCTCTCAATTAGCCCTGTTCAATGTGCTGCAATTATCTAATTGCTCTGTTTTTGTCCTGGCTTCAATCTGGATTTACGGTCTACGAGATTCGGGAAGTGCGCATGTCAGAGTGGCGCCAGGATGTCGTCTGCTCCAGTTTCCCGCTGTCTTCGGCATCTGACATCCCAACATCGCCCCGGAAAAAAAAACCCAACCCCTCTTGGCAAAAAAAAAACTATGTCAGAGTCTGGCGGTCTTCATCCGGGGGTTAGTTCTCCCTTTTTCCTTTCTTGAATTGCGTAATTTGCGCAAACTGATAATGAATCGAGATACAGGGTTCGTCAACAGGAAGCCCAGATTATCCTGACACACATCCGATCTGTATCGTATTATATTTGTTATTCTTCTGCTACATTCTTTAAGGGGGTGTTTTTGTTTATTTTTAAAACAGAATTCACGGCCTTCGGGGTGGAAAGCTACAGAAACAATGCTTAAGGGGGATTGGAGTGCCACTTCCTCGAAACAAGTCTCAACTTTCAATTACCCGAGAACCGCTTTAAAGGAAGCCACACCAAGTCGGGCCATATGCGTGACCTAACCGAATACTTTCAGATCGTTAAGCGTGGGCGATATAAAACCTTTAAACTGCGACCTTGATGAGCCCATAAGATGCACTGAGAAAAATGTAATAAAAGGTCATGGAATAGGTCGCAAATATGCTTAGATATTTAAGAAATCAACTTATCTTTTTTATCAAAACCTTATTACAGAATACAGAAATCAAGTAAATTTAATTTTAAATTTTAAAATATGCATAAATATTTTGCTACGCCTATTTTTTCTATGTGTATCAGTGAAAAACAATCAATTACTCACACTAAAAAGTTAAGGCCTGTGCCAATTACCCGAAATTGTTCTTTAAAAACTAGAACAGAAGAGCCAACAAGGCTGGTAAAATGAATACAAACGATGTGGGGCTGGATTTTGCATACGTCCAGTCAATATAAAGCTGCCACTCTATTCAACCAACTGGCATTCCAAGGCCAGGACAATCCAAGGCTTCCGAGCGTATACGTAATATCGCCACCTCTGGTGTAATAATGTAATTTAGCAAAGAAACGAGAAATATATAAATATGTTATGGTCAATATTTGACAGCCACCACTCCTCGGAGGAAAACCCTTCCAAGATTGTTTGCCTTCGAGTTGCCCGAGTGCTTCACTGGACTTGTGGCATGTTTGCCTTTTCCTGCGGTAAACAAGGCGAGTCCTGGCACTTTCACCTGCCAGGACATGCAAAACTCTTTCAAGGACACAGCCGGCGATCTTGATTCATTGTCGCGCAAAATCACGCAACCTTATCAACACAATTAGTGGAGTTTCCATCCTATAACCATACCCATAAATCACATCAACCAAGCTCTCGCACTAATTAAATCATTTCTGGAATTCTATTAATAGTAGAGAATCATCCAAACAGTTTGTTATACGAATTCTTATGTTTAAGGTGTGAAAATTAAATTAGATGTGTGAAATGAACGCGGTGAACGGAAGAATAACAAATTATTATTAAAAGAAAAATAAACACAGAACCAAAATAATAATATGTTCCAGACAGTGGTGTCTAAATTCAAATATTAATGATTCATCACCTTTAGACTAACTTTTTAACATTCATGATGTAAATAAAATTATGGTTGCCAAAGTAAACAACGTTTAATGAGCAAAAAAAACAAACACTGTTCTCCGAAAAAATCATTATGTATTTATAGAAGCAGATCCATCAGGTAGCAATCTAATGGGGTCCTTACACTATACACTTGATGGTGAAATAAATCATTAAATGATCTCACTGATGTTATAGCAATTTTACCAAAAAATAATTCAAAATTTATTCAAAATTATTTTTAATCAGAAAGTGTAACTATAATGAATATTTATATATAATTCACCTGAAAATTTAATTTAAGAGTAGGGTTTCGTGTTTTATAAATTAAATAACTTAAATACAACCGTAGAATTACTTATGAACCGTGTTGGAATGGAAATTACTTTCTGTGCAATGATCTTAATATAATTTCCCATTTAAACATATAATAATATATTTTTAATACCCGAGCACTTGGTTTCTTGTAACATTTCTGAACAAATCTCGGAACTATTTGGCCCGTACTTTAACAGCAAGAACTCGGTTACGTATACGTAATGAAATTCGACCGAGGCGCCACATCGACTGGCCACGCATTCTCCATTTTCGCAGTCGGTGTCCTGAAAAGTGGGCGGCACATGAATCTGATGATGTCAACCTCTCTGGGGGGAAATACACAAAACTGTGTCACCCTCTTTTATATTTAGACCATAGACAAACAACCTTGAAAGGTCAACTGAAGTTTGCCTTACTAATGGAATTGTTTTCTTCCTTTTTAGCTGCAAATGAGCAGCGTGAGAAACAGCACTTACAGTGCTGGCACTGCAGTTCGGACACCATTGGAGCGGAGGATTTCTGCGATGTGACCTTCCAGGAGGACAATATACCCACTGACCTGATCAAGGAGCGGAACATCAATCTGCTGAGGAGCTGCAACAGCACCATCAACTCCGATCACGAGCGAGCCGTTTGCCGCAAAACGGTTGAGGAGAGTGAGTAGTCTTAATATTAACATGTCTTTAAAGAAAAGTCGACAACAGAAGCAGCGGCCCGCGGGATAGGAAATTTCTCTGCCGCTGCTCTGCTGACGTTCTGCTAGTGCACCTACATTTCGAAATGTTTCGCTGTGCAAATCGTACTTACAGCTATATATTATTAAATATTAACTGAAAGTATTATTGATTAATTTTCCAGATAATGGCAAGCTGATAACCAAGCGGTTCTGCTACTATACCAACAAATCGGATCCCGTGGAGCTTTGCAACATCACCAGTCCGGAGAAGAATGTGCGGCGGATATTCTGCCAGGACTGCCTCACCGATCGCTGCAATGGAGCCTTCACAGGAGCCTACATGTTGGAGATCATGCTGCTTCTGCCGATTTTGGCCCTAATCCATCAGTTGGCCATCTAAGCGAAACATCTCTATATTGTATTTTAGTTGAAACGTGATATTTTGCCTGGCCTTACGGGCCGAGCTATGGCTGATTAACGTTTATGTTTAGCTCGATTTAACTTAGTTTTTGGGGAAACTGTTCTCCCCGCCCCCTCATTAGCTTACATTCAGATTGAAATTTAAGGTTCGTTTATAAGTTTATGATTTGCCTGGCCGAGTGCCAATGTTTGCCAAGCTCAAAGCCCGATTATTTCAAGATAAATCCAATTCAGAGTATAAATAAATAAAACTATAACAAAACAAATCCAATTACAAACGGTTAAGTAAATGAAACAATAATCAGTAGAGTTGAAACTCGCAAGCACAGTAAATACCCACTAAATAGTCTATGTACAACATGATATTTTAATGTAAAGAACACAAGCCTTCACCTATGTAATTATCTCAGATGCTAGACAAACAAAACCAATTAAAATCAAAGTATTAAAGCACTCGAACATACAAAACACACCGAATAAAGTTCACATAACTAAAGTCTTGGTTAATGGTTTGGACTTAGAGGTATTTTAGAAGGTCAATAACAGCATCAACCAGTCTTTGTTTAATCCTTTGATCCAGACCTGAATAGAACTCCTCCAATTGGATGCTCTGCCAAAGTTTTGCCATGTAGCGGCAGAATTCCTGGCTGATTTCGCCACCCCGCTTATAGCGATCGTAGAGCATCAGTTCCGCTTGGATCATTAAACCGTAGGACTCCCGATTGCCGGTGATGTAAAGCTGGTAAAAAAACGCAGCCAGCTTTGTAGAACTCTGCAAGGTGTAAACCCTATGGAGCACTCTCACCAGAACTCTGTTCAATTGGTCTGGCTTAAAAATACAATGGAATTTACGGGAATGCTGACCGATGGCAAACTGATACTTTCCCAGTTCATGTTCCTCGGATTCCAGGGCTTGCCGAAAAAGATCAGTGGTATTCAGGATCTCCAGATGTTCACGGATCTGTTCGCGAATGAGATAACCCTGCAGATGTTGACGAACTGTGACATTACTCTCCTTCCGACACACCACATGCCGCAGGGTCTCCTCCAAGTCCTCAATTTTGGCCACATCCCTTGGGTAGTCGGCTTTCAGTTTTCCCCAGGTAGCTGACACCAGGTAGAGCTGCTCGGAAACGGTTCCATTGAAGTCCTCAATCAGCTGGAGCATCCGTTTGTTATCATAACTGATCACCTGCGTTCCCAAAGTGGCTTCAGTTCTTACAAACAGCAGAGGGAATATAAAAATCAATTTACTAATCATCTTGAGACTTAAAATGCAACTGAAATACGAGCAGCTGGGTTATCTTCAATCTGAGCTTATCGGCTTGGCTCTACCGCAAAGTGCTCTCAGGGAAAAATGAGCTTATCACACCCTACTACAAAGGGTACTTGGATTTATTACAATCATTTGGCTAATATAAAAAAAAAATATTATAAACAATATTTTAAATTACTTTTTTGTATTAGTTCAATATTTTGAATAAAATAAGTAAATAAGTATTTTTAATCCAGCACAAGCAAATGAAACATGGAAGTTAGGACACGCCTTTAAAGAGGCCAATCCCCTGGATATGGTTTCCCCCTAGTCACTGTCACACTAATCCGAAAATACACTGGGATAGCCATATAAGTCGAATCCAATTAGTCGACCTACATTCGAGACAATGCAACCCTCACTGATATCCTGCCATTGTCCTTGTTCCACTGGTCCCAACATAGCCTTCCGTTCAGCCATTTCAAGCCCCCATGTCTGGCCAGCTGGGCACATCTAATTAAATTTATGCAAATTATTTGCTGTCCTTGTTGATTAGTGACACCCCATCTGTGCCTCATTAAGTTTCGATCGTGCTCAATGAGATGAGCCAAATTAATGTTTGCTGCTTGCCCAAAGCCGTTTTAAATTTGATGACATACTTTTGGGCGATAATGAAAAATATTTGCTTGAGACTAGAAATCTTTACAAAAGCACTCAAGTGTCTGTAAGATAATCGTTTGTCTGATATATAACTACTGAATCTTAGAATTAGCAAGTGAATTCTGTCGCTTGGAATTTTTTTTCGATGCAAACAACACTTTAGAGAGTGGATGTTAATGAATCTGTTCCTGACTCAAACCTGTCAACTATACCTTAAAAACATAAGACACATATTGTTTTAAATGCTAATATATATATGAAGAAATCAATATAATATTCACATTTTTTAAAGTTATAATAAAATAAAATACAGAAAATTCAAATAAATAGTGTTGTGCAGCCTACAAAATAATACTTCGGGCATAGACCTACAACGTAATTTAAATTACAAATAAAACACGACCTGAAACCAGTTTTCCCAGGCGTGTAAATAACAATAGTAATAATGATATACCCAAATTTCCACTCAAAACATAAGCCAGAGAACGCTTTTTGAGACCCTCTAGATTTCTCTTTGGAGGGGTGTTCGCTGCTGAGTCGGCGATGTTGCGCTGGAACTGCAATACTGCTGTTGTTCCAACTCGCAACGCTCAACAGTTTCAGACGTTCAGCAGATTTCGTTGTCTTCGGTTCATACTCGTGCTTAAGATCACAAAATATTATTTTCGAAAACGTAATAGCCAAAAAATCAAGTGTTGGTGAAAATGGTGTCCGCTCTGAAATGCAGTTTGGCCATGGCCGTTATGATTAGTCTGGCCTGTTCAGGTGTGTTGCATTTTAAAACTGTGGGCAGTGGAAACGGTGTATTTAAAGGAGTTCAAGGAGACCCAGTTTGTGGAAAATTAAGATATTTTTACAATCACTTTTTACTTCTGGGAAAAGCAAATTTTATTTGGGAAACATTTTTAACAAAATTCTGGCGTTTGTATTATAAAGATTGTAAAGTTTTTTTTTCGATTGTAAATTTTTATATTGAAATAAAAAAACTCCTAACAAAGATATTAAATTTGTATTATAGTTTTCGGAAAATTAAAGATTTTTGCGATCATTTTTTACTTCTGTGAAAACCTAATTCTATTTGGGAAAGAATTTTAACAAAATATTTTTTTCGTTGGACATTTACATTGAAGTAAAAACCTCCGACTTTTTCCTTTTTCTTTTTCTTGTATATATAAAAATTCTCCTCATATTGAAATCACTACCGCTTTTTTCCGAAGCCTCCGTCTTACATATAAAAATCGTTAAAAATATACTGTTTTATTAATCCATATAATATTGTAATATTCCCTACAGCCTATGCCCTTAAGTGTTATCAATGCGAGTCCCTGACAATGCCCAAGTGTGGTCTGAAGTTCGAGGCGGATGAAAGCCTTTTAATTGATTGTGCCCGTATTGGACCCCCCCGTTACCTGCAGAACTTCTTCCCCCTGCGCAACGCCACTGGTTGCATGAAGAAAACCCTCGAGAGTGGTGAGTTAACAGTCCCTAAATGTGAAAAAAACAAGTAAAACCTATAAAAATACAATAACGTACAAAAATAAACCTGCAAAATAGCTTTAACAAATTCAATTCAACTTTAAGATTAATCTTCCAAAATGAACAATTCAGTAGCCAAGTGAAACTGAGATTCTCAAGTTTCTTACTTCAAGCAACAGATAGCAAAATTTCAACAACACTTAACCCCTGAGATCATCAAATAGGTTTTTGTATTTAGTCTCTGATGTCATGCGTGCTATTTCGCTTTTTATACGTCGTGATTTCTAGTCACTTTTTTGCGGCTTATTTTCTTGTAATTAACTCAAATTGAGAACTTAATTCGTGTTGTGATTGAATGCCGCAAGCTTTTCGCATTCACACGCTTTGCATTTTAATGTATTTGCGAGGTAGATCTGCCATTAGAATATTTCGTCATAAATATTATGATCGTTTTTTAACTCTATTAAAGCCAAACAAGTTTATTTTCAATGTATCAATTATACAAATTGTAGAAAAATTTACAATGATGAGATCACAACTGAAAAATAACAGATATTCCCTGATAATAATGTGTATAAATATTTTTTAACGCGGTGAGAATTGTGGTTCTTTGTTTTTTATCACAATAGCTAAGAGTTTATATATTAAATATAGCTCAGGTAAACAATTAACAAGTGCCAGGTGCTGGGTGAACAATAGGTTCATTTAGTAGACCCCGCCAGAGAAAGTTGTTTGCCCCATTACTCATCCCAAAACCAAACATCTACTCCCATTCCAGTGGCCGGACATCCGCAGATCGTGAGGAGCTGCTACTTTGGGGACATCAACAATGTCCAGGGTGGCTGCCAGTCGGATCCCTCCCTGCCCTTCGTGAAGCAACTGGGCTGTGACGTCTGCACCAAGGACGAGTGCAACGGATCCTCCTCCCTGGCCCCCATCGCCGGAGCCGTCCTCCTCTTCTTCGGAGTGGCTCGTCTGCTGGCCTAGATCCTAACTAGCTAGTAACTTAATTGTTTGTAGTATTCAATGGTCTTGCTTTGTGTAAATCTCTTCTAAATTAAATATTTTATTTGATAATAAAAGAGGGACAGGAGTTTGTCCCAAAAATATACCAAAAAATGTTGTAACCTTAATTATTATTGGCTTGGGGTGATCTGGGTTTGAGTAATGTTGGCTCGAGAAATGTTTGCACTTGATTACACAACTGAAAATATTGTCGTATTCACTTTGCTTCATAAGAGTCAGAAAATATACATCAATTTATAAAAAGTTAAAGAAGGTTTCGGAATAATCCAATGCCAATACAGCTACAAATCTTGTATAATAACAGGCCTAATATTTTATTATAAGCAACTTTTTTAATGCTTATTTTAAAAATTTCAAAAGAATTAAAATAATGTATTACAATATTATTTCAATGTTGATCTTTCAAGCCTATCTTTACAATGACTAAGTCAAGTCAAGTTAAGGGAAAAAACATTACTAGTTAATTATTTGCTTTGTAACTTCGACCCAGCCCATAAAAAATCATCACACAAGCCGACATGACTAACTTCTCAGAAAAAGTACTTCAGTTACAAAAAACAGTAGACCTACAGTAATCGCAATTTGTACGGTGAACACATTTTAGGTAAAGTCATCAAATAACAATACAATTCAAAATAAAATCAACTGAGTCAGAGTCAAACATAAGCCGAATCTGTATAATATGTCTGGGATTTGAGAGTGAAACACCTGGGGTCTAATTAGTATGTGCACCCACATGAGCAACAAAAATTTGAATGTTGGTAAAAAAAAAGGTCGCACAGTTCCCCCCTTTTTAAGCGGAAAGTGGGATTTATGTTCGTCTGCCTTCTTAATTACATATAATTGAGTTCAATTTCATTTGCAAGTCAAGTTTCAGTATTCCACGCTTCGGGTTCGAGTTTACAAAGTGTTAAATGCAGCTCAACAAAGGTCAAGAAACTCCTGACCGCGATCTCCGAGAGCACTTCCCCAGATCGGAGAACTCTGGAAGCTGCAATATCCGAAGTCATTCCACCCCCGTCTGCACCAATTAACCCAAACTCATTTAGCATAATTTCAGAAATTACTTAATTGAAGAAAATAGAAAATGCCTGCCCATGTTTAGGCAAGATCTGAAAATTAAAAACGCCCGCTTAAATAAAAAGGCAAGTTTACATTGACAACATATTAATTGGCCGTGGAATTACATTGTGACCATATACGGGAAGAGTAATAAATAAGACATTACAAAACTTTTAAAACTGATATTATAAGTGAAAGGTTTATGGCACTTTCTGTTCTGCAAAGAATTTCCTTTTCTTTTATTTTGTATAGTATGCAGTACAGTATTTAAAAATAATAGTGCTTTTATACTATTAATATTCGTTGAATTCCATAGTGACCATATGCGGAAAGAGTTATAACTGAGACATTACAAAACTTTTTAAGCTGAAATTATAAATTAAATGTTTATTAGTCTTTCTTAGATGGAAAAAATTTTGTATAGTAGGCAGTACAGTATTTAAAAATAATAGTGCTCTTCTTTCCAGAAACCATTGATAAGGTCTGGATGTTTTGAAAGCTAATGCTCACAAATGCTAGTTGACAGCCGCGCTGTTGTCTACTTTAAAAAATCGTCAAAAAATAGTTTGCAAAAGTGAGCATGGTGTCATGTGTAAAACTGATCCTAGCTCTCATTATCCTGTTCATTTTGGCCTACACTGGTCCTAAACCTCCCAAAATTATTCTACGGATATAATTTATATATTATCGATTCGCAGGGTATGCCAATCGGTGCCATAAGTGCAACCCTATAACCAATTCTAATTGTGGAACTCATGGAAGTCTTGTTGTCGATAGCCCCGTTAATTGCACCGAGTGTCTTAATTATTCCGCCAAATGTTACTAGGGCGGTAGCCCGCGCGCAACTATTTCTACATATGAATTGCAAAATTATAGTTAATAAAATATTTGATTACAACGGCTCTTTATCACAGTAGACTTAACCATAGGAAAATTTTAAAAACATAGGTTCATCTATCGCAAATAATTTATGTAATCTTATGTAAGAGAAGTCCGTCAGAAAATTACTGCTGGCTGCAAAGAGCTTGACAAGTTGATTGACTAATTCTTAGCTCGTAAATTTCAATATAGTTAATTTATAAATCCAAAAATAAATTATAAAATTCTGGATCAGCATCACAAATATATGAGCTTCAAATGTGCTGGCTACTTTGATATTTTCCACAACAAAAACAGTATTTTTCAGTCGCGTTTGGAGGGGGTAAAACGTGATTTTACACCATATGTTTAATTGCCATCATTGCTTTAGTAATTAACAAATTAGGCACCATCTTAAAAAAAAGGAACCCAGAATCGTAAGCATACCAACTTTTAATTTAACATGCGCACATAAAAACCTGCCTAAGGGGTATTGATAGTCGAGCTCATCGACCAATGCGTTTTTTGCTCCTCATCGGAATTTTTAAAGCATCACAAAAATATAAATTCTTTATTAAAAACAGTAAAATTAACAGTGATTCATACAATATCGATAAGTCAAGGGCCTGGAGACTCCGTGAATTAGCGCATGTCGTTAGGTGACAGCTCCGAACGTTGTTAATTGCTAAAAGTGGCAAAACAATGAGATTGAGTCAAATATTCGAATGTGTTTCAAACTGCGCACTAGAATTAAAAAGGCAACTGGTTTAAAAACGATGACGATTCCAGTAATTTGGGACCTACTTGACATTCAAAATAATTTGGCCCAGCGAAGCACAACACTCCCAAAAAAACTATGAAAGAACCGATTTATTTTCAGCATGTTTTGGGGAAGTCGGGTTTCGGCTCTTCGTCAGAATGGCAAATCAAAACAAAAATAAACCAACAAAACGGCTGACATCACCCCAAACAAATCGGCGAAAATTCTTGAAATTTATATATATATGCGCCTCGTTTGTGTGTCAAATGTAGTAAGAAAAAACATTGCGGCAGCTTCTATACAAATTCAAAAACACAAAATTCAAACACGCAATGTGTACAAAGAAAATCACTCACTCATGGTCACTACGAGTGGAAGCTCGATTTTTGAGTGAGCTAAATGCTGATACTGAGTGAAAAAATGGACAATGGACTGAACACTGAGATATGGCTCACAAACGCTTGCCAGACGCCGTGCAGTCAAGTTTTGCTTCAAGAAATAGTCGACAAAATAAATTTCCAACCTAAAAATGGTGTCAAATGTAAAACTGATCTTGGCTTTCACCGTCTTGGCCACATTGGCCTGCACGGGTATGGAAATACATGGAATTTCGTTATCAAATTAATTCACAAATCTGAGGAATTACAGGTTATGCCATTAAGTGTTACCAGTGCGATTCCTTGACGAATCCCAAGTGTGGAAAGGATATAAAGTCCGATGCTGATCTGGTTTTGGATTGTTCCAGGACGGCGCCTCCTCGATTCCTTCAAAACTTTTTCCCAGTTCGCAATGCAACCGGTTGCATGAAGCAGACAATCGAAAGTAAGTAAGGCCATCGGGATCGCTTGTAATAACCATGATCTCATCTTATCGATTGCCCACACATCGACAGTTTAAATTAATTGGGGCTACGCCTTTGAAGTAGGGTTTGCCATATACCAGAGCTTTTGTTATTAAATTTAATTAATAATCTTACTATAAGGGTGATAATAATTTAAAGGTGACAACTAATTTAGAACTATATCATTTATACTTATAAAGAAAAGCAAGTTCGCTTATGGTATAAGATCAAAAGACCGATATATATTTAGAAATGCTCAAGATCTATGAGACTTTATTGGATGCCTTCCAGTTAAATATGTAAAGCATGAAGATTATAATAGAAACAACGCATGATGTACACTCATATAGAACCCGAATGTCTATACAGAGGGGCTACAGATAAGAGTCATCTGCTTGTTTTTCCTTTCCAAACTATCAGTGAAATATTCATATTATAATCTATAGCCTCAATTTTCCAGCATTCTTTATAAACCATACTTTAATGATAAAGTGTGTGCCTTTAACCCAACGGAGATTAGTCCCAGTCCCTCAGCAATATGTTTCCTTCATTAAAAATGCATCATGAACTGTAGATATTAATACTAAAGTACCTATTTGAGTTATTTTTTCAACGTTTTCAGACAATTTGCTTGATTGCATAGCGATTGTCAGGCATAAATATTCTCTTGGGTCCATATTGTTTTCTGAATAATTACAGCCAGTTTTTTTTCGAGTGATTTCACGTATACTTCTGAGGAGTATTTGTGCTCGGTGACCGCTACATCATTTCAGGCAATTGTTCATTAATTTCATTAAGAATCATCTATGTCTTGATTCGTGTTTTAACTAGTGAAGGGAGTGGCAGCTATAATTGATTGTCGGTCAATTGGGACCACAGTCAGAACACAAATTAGTCACAGATATACTAGTATTTGCTGACACATCCAATGACACCTTCAAGTGTTTAGTATTTAATAACAATAAAGAGGGATAAAGAGAGATCTCTAAAGCTCATCATTCTACCACGATAGCTTAGTATTTAATTAACATAAATAGGGATAAAGAAAGATCTCTAAAGCTCATGTAATTTTCATTTTATTTTTTCTTAAATGATAAAATTATTCATAAAATTATTCATAAAATTATTCATAAAATTATTCATTACTCTTATTCGGTAGTTATTTTCGAACTTTTTCTTTTATCTGAGAAGTGCTAACATACATTTAAACTTTAAAGGAATCAATTTTATTACCAATGTTCATTTGAGTTTTTGTTTTACACAAAAAATATTCAAGGTTTGACCAGATATACATTTTTTTGGATATTAATCAGCCAAAGATCAAGCAATGCAAATGTTTTTATATATAAGAAATGAAGGGAAGACTACAAATAGAATTAAGAGTCCAAACACGTACAAAATTGAATGCTGAAAATTAGAATTTTGAATGGTCACTACCACACATTTTTATTCACGTACGCATTAGTATGCACAACACAATCTAATACAGTAATTAAAGATTTAAATTGCCAAATACACGAAAATGATGATGAACCAAAGTACACTGATAAAAATAACGTAGCAAGTCCCATATCCAATTAAAGTATGATAATATTTCATTTGCCCATTAAATAAGACTAAAATCAAAAATTAAATTTTAACCTTGATTTAAATATTTTCATAAAAAACCACCCAATTAACTATCATATTAAAAAGACTTCAAATATTTAAAATAAATATGACTATTATTAATATTAATAATTACGACTTTATTTAAATATTTTCGTATAAAATCATGTAATTTATTATGTTTTATATTGAACATTATATTTTTGTATTTGGTTCAAATATGTAAACAAAATTTGATTTTAAAATCCAGATATTTATCTTTGCTACTCCACTTTTTATCAGTGAATATTACCTTTAAAAAGTTTCAAAACGATTTTAGAATCTCAAACAATATTTGATTTCAAAATGCAAATATTTATCTTTACTATTCCATTTTTCATCAGTGTATATTTATATTAAGACATATCAAAACGATTATAGAACCTCAAACAGAATATGGGTATTGTATGAATGTTATAAAAAGTACAATAAACATAACTTTTCGAAAATGTCTTTTTAAATGAATGCTTAATCTTTAACTTGCAGTTCCTGGCAACCCCCAGATCGTGAGGAGCTGCTACTTTGGTGACCTTAACAACAAACAGACCGGATGTCAGACCGATGTTAGCCTGACGACCAACAAGCTGCTGAGCTGCGAGGTCTGCACCGAAAACGAGTGCAACGGATCCTCCTCTATGGCTCCCATTGCCGGAGTTATCCTACTCTTCTTCGGGCTGGCTCGTCTATTGGCCTAAATTAGTAGTATTCTTCAGTAGTGCCGCCGATAGCAATCATATCGAATCTGCTTTTAAAAAGCCCACAAGCGCTTAAGTCACTTTTAAATGTTATACACCTTTTTTGTCCACAATAAAAATCACGTTATTTATTTGAAATTCTCATTTAAGTTAATAGGTATTTTATTGGTATTGATTCAATTAACTGGCGATTTTTTATTGATACTTTGGGGAGTTGGAGAAAGGGGAAATCCATGCGTGTCTGGCCACACTTTTACCCGTTTCCTCGCCCACAATGTGGCTTTTCTACTTTTCTCTTTTCGCTTACCTTTTGGAACTCTCTTGGCCGACGTTTATAGAACAGCCGGAAAAGTTCTCTCTGTGATTTTCCTCGGGTCTTGACCATACACTCCCAGTTTTTCCCCTGCCACCTCCCACATGTGCGCTATAAATTCAGCGTCAAATCTCCACTCGGCTGATGAGTAGAACACAAAATGTTCATTAAAATTAGACAAATTAAAGCGCTGAGCGATGACGCCAAGCGAAATGGACATAAAGTATTTCCCTCACAAAAAAAGAAGAGAGCTTCGAGCGAAAAAAAAGAGAAAAAAGGCAAGGAGTTGAATTTGGAAAATGCTTTTGGCATTCTTTTAGTTCGATTTCGTGTGCGGACGTCGACTGTCAGACGGCTCCAAGAATTTAGCCGGGAAATCGGGGAAAATCAAAATAAAAAAACTCTGGCAAAATTGGCAACGCGTGTTTACATTTTAATTTCCTTACGTACCAACAGCTAACAAAATATGTAAAAGTCATTTAGAGGAAAAGAAAATATACATCATACATTTCTTTAAATTGCATATACATATATTATATTCAACGGATATAAATGTGTTTCATATTTAAATTTGTGCGGATCGTTTCTATTGCGTTGAGCAGAGTTATAAATAAGACTGCTACTTGAATTGTTTTCCATAAAACCATAAAATAAAACATATTCCAAACACAAAGAAAAAACCAAATTCCAAAGAAAGGTAGCGGAACTATTTTCTTCTCATCAACAATGCGGCAATATTTACTTTTGTTTGGCGCGCTCGTAGCGCTGTTGGATACAGGTTTGTTTTGGATTTGCCTTTCGATTTTGTACTTTGTGTTTAGTGTTTGCCGACGAATCGGCTGTCCCCCATCTGATCTCATTTCTGCCATAAATAAGACTCATCTCTGGTCGTTTCATCTACCCAATGCCATTAGCTTACGCCATCAAGTGTTTCGCCTGCGAATCCGTCTACGACGCGAGTTGTGCCGAGGATTTCGAAGTGGAGAACTATTTCAAATTCGACTGCGCCTTCATGGCCCCGCCGCGGTTTTTGGAGAGTGATCTGCTCACCGTGAATGCCACGGCCTGTTTGAAACGGATATTCAAAGGTAAGTTTAATGGAGAATATCTATTATCAAAACTTATTCTTAACGTAAGCCTAATATAATACTTAAATATGGTAGTTGCAATCAAATCAATCTAACGTCTGACGAAACATATGAAATATTCCTTGCTGTTTTCATTTTTTATACAAAAACAAACAATTTGTAGTTGTTTTTATAATATTGTGGGGCTTGTGGCATTTTAAAATGATTTATGACATTTTCCTTGCACTTAAAGCTAAGAGAAATTGTACAACAAGATTATTAAAATATTTAAACAAAAATACTTTTGAAGGTGCTTAAGTAAATTCTTAAATCAAAGCCTTATAATATTAATAAAAAACGGTTCAATAACCGGAAAAAAAAACAAACAAATGCATCATGTTAAAAAACTTGTTTTCATAAAAAAGAATTTAAGTCTCCAATTCGTTGTATTCCAAAAAACTGCTCCACATGGCATGTGACGTAAATCAAAACAAATAAAATTATTAATTACCCAAAGAAATGACACATTTGTATTGCTGCTGCTCAGACAGCTGTGACCTTAAATTTTCATAAACTTCGCAGCAATCTCTTGATCTTTTGTACAATACGTATAAGCCTATTAAAACATAAGCATATAATTTATGTTTGTTTATGCGAAATTTTCATAGACTTCGCAGCAATCTCTAGATGTTTTGGCCATTATGTATAAGACCATTAAAGCACGAGCATATAGGATATGTTTGTTTATGGGAAATCAGCCTGAAAGTAGACTAACTAAATGTTTTGTTTTCGCAGAAAATGGCGTACGTAAGATCGTTAGAGGCTGCTATTTTGGCGATGTAAATGCCACCGATGTGGGCTGCAAAATGGATCCCACACTGACGGCGGTGCAGAATAGCAGTTGTTATGTGTGCGACAACGAGAACTACTGCAATGGAGCGGAAGGACCAGTGGATAAATGGAAAATATTCGGCAGTCTAGTCTTGTTTCTCTTGGCACCTCAACTACTCTGAACTAATAGAAAGACGCAGCTAAAATTTGGGGCATAAAATGCACATTAAAAGGCACAATAACTTAAGTAAAACCTAGTCCAATTTAGATGTATTTCCCAGGCCCAAAACTATCAATTACCAACGCCCACATACTTAGCACCCAACACACGCACAACAGCCAAATCTTTCCCACTGTATTAATGGTCAATCAACGGTAAACAGGGCGTATGAGCAACACCAGCAAAAATGAGCCAAAAAGCTGGCAAACAAAAATTCGAACGATCCAAATGCAAACTAATAAAAAATAATTTTACACAGAATACCGAAATTGTTTATTTGTTCAAATGCCACTAATGAACTTTTGCCTGAAACAAATGGATCGACAATGGTGGCGGGGGGGAAAGGGCAGGGCACAATGTCAACACGCGTTGGCCAGAAAAATGCCTACGGGGGAGAAGTGAAAATCTGTTAGGAAAATCAAATTCACATTCTTAATGCGATTGTTCGCTCATTCAGTTTAGCTCAGTTCAGTTCAGTCGCGTGTGTGCAACGCTACGAGTCGGTGGTCGGTGGTCCGCGGTTCGCGACTATATAGTGGGTCTATCATGTGATTAAAATCGGTCCGGCAGCTGAGAAGACAACATCTGTATTCGCGCACGTATCGGCATCGCTATAGCTATAGCTATTGACTCACCGCGACCGCCGGACAGTGGGATCAACTGTTTTCGGGGGCGGTACGATGGCGCTGCTTGCCTCGCTCTTTCTACTCGTCACGCTGGCCAGCTCAGGTGAGCTTCTCGCCCTCAACACATCCCATCCTCATATTTTTTAATGTTCCAAAAAACACGATTCCCTCGAAGATACAGAAGAATAAATCTGAGTTCCGTTTTCTATTTTAAAAAATGTTTTAATCTGAATTCTATACTCAGTCCCTCATCCGAAACACTTCTAATTAAAGTAATGCTCTATTAATTAAATTAGGTAAAACTATACTCGTACATTTTCCGACAAAACACTTTGTCATAAAAATATTTTTCTAGCCCTAAATCAATCACTAGTTTATAATAGGCAAGTTTTTTTTAAATTATTAAAAAAAATGGAACATCGGAACTTAATTAAATTAAAAAAGAATTCATAATAAATGCTGTCTGGAATGTCAAAAAATACTTAGCTTTAAATTATTTAAAAAAAAGGAACATCGGAACTTAATTAAATTAAAAAAAAAATTCATATTAAAAGCTGTCTGGAATGTCAAATAATACCAAGCTTTTTTTCCACATTAAAAATAAAGATCATTAAATGACAAGGTAATATTTGCATACAAAATGTATACAAAGATGAGCACATTTTGAATACAATTTCGATCCATTGTTTTCTTTTCTGTGTGCCCGCGTTGACACACATATTTACGCATGTCGTCATCAGCTCGGGCCATTACCTGCTACGAATGTGATTCCGTCAATAATCCAGGGTGTGGGGAGCAATTCGCTGGCGATGACATATCCACGACGGATTGCGATGAGATGGCGAACATGCGAACCCTAGGAGTGGAGGCCACCTGCCTTACCAAGTACTTTGAGGGAAGTGAGTATATAAATTCGGGAAAATAGGTTAAGAGAAGCCCTAAACCAATCGCTGATTTCTTGGCAGCGCCTGGAGACACCCGCTTTGTGAGGCGCTCCTGCTACTTCGGCGACTCCTCCCCGATAAGCCTTAATTGCGATGACGGACCGGATCCTGTTGTGCCATTTATGAATTTCCTGGGATGTACGCTCTGCGAAACGGATCTGTGCAATGCAGCACCAGGAACAATCGCACTATCTTTGGCAAATGTCTTTATAGCACTTGGTCTACTTATCCTACTTACCAACTAAGAAAAATGAGAAGCGCATAGAAAGGCGGCTATTCATCAATGTATCCTATTACCCAGCATATACTCCAGTATTGTGTAAAATATTAATGTATCCTTGACCACTAACAAACAGAACCACTAGTAGTCGAACTTTTCTAACTAAAACCATCTTTAGTATCTGTCTTCAAAAGTCAAAGTAGTTTTAGTAGGTCGACTGCAAGACCACAGATAATTAACTTGGCTGTTTTTTTTAATTTTCATTTTATTTGATTTTCTTTCCATTGTTTTTATACATCCACTAAAATGATTTAACATACATATATCTTTTTATAATATAATTATTCTTGTTTGATTTAATATAATTTATTGAATAAAATTTACTCGTCTCCTACTTTATCTGCGTGTGTGTATGCAAGTATGTGTATGTGTTTACTGTAATTAGGATTTATAAATTACAAAATATGCATAAAATAAATAAAAAATAACATTTCAAAATCGATACACACAATCGCTGTTTCAATTTTTAGTCAATACATTTGTTGATCGTCAAACACATCTAGATTTTCATATATATATCCAGTTTATTGTATAAATTATTGTATGTGGGTATATGGATAACACCTTGGTTTATCAATATTTCTGGGTTCTAGCTGCTGATTATAGTTATGTCAGTTTCTGGGCTACACATAAATAACACTCAAATATAAATATATGGATATTTATCAAGATATTGTATATAAACTACACATTGAGAACAATTCAGATAGAAAACAATTTATGTACAAAAGATTGTTTGTTATGCTTTACCAAATACTGTCCATATTGGCAATGTCCCGAGAAATCTCAGAGAATCCATCGAGGACAGCTGCCAAGCGCGTCCCGACTTAAGCACTATCAACAATTCATATCATCCGCGTATAAGAATTAGTCAACCAAATATAGTAAAACTTATTGTTTCAACATGATTCACACTCAGAAACAAATAACAAACAGATTTGCTTTTTTCATATTTTTAGCTTGTATGGTTCAACTTGTTCAACTATTTGTAGTTGGGTATATAATGAAGAGTTCGGTTATTTAATGCTGCGTACACATATACATTGAATCATAGTAACAACAACACAGAGAGTTTGTTTAAAACCTAAAAACTATTCATATTTAGTTTGCTTTTCCACTGCTGCTCTTTCTAGCCCATAGATTGCAGGTGACTTGGGTTTTGAGGGAAGGGTTCAATTTTTTTTGGGTACCGTAAGTCGGTTTGGGATTTGTGGAGTACCAGCTCCGCAATGCTATGGTTGTGGAGTGTTGCCTGTCATACACTGCAATCTATGGTCACTACTGTCCCTACTCCTCAATTTTCGTTGTGGTTTATTCATTAAATTTTAACAATTCGCTTTAGTAGTGCAACGATCAAAAAAACAGCGGAATCTGCAGTTACTCAAAGGCAAATGGGTATTAAGTTCGAGGGAAATGGGAGGAAACACACCATGTTCTTTTTGTTAAACATAAAAATTGACTAGAAAAATGTGCAAAAATTTTGTGTACGTGCAGTTTTTGGGTGGAGGTGAGCAAAGAATTTCGTTGGTATTGAAAATGGAATGGAATCTTAAAATAATTATTGATTGTTCTCCGTTTTTGTTTATGGCTACTTATGTAGCCTTCAACTTGTAATACATTTCTTTGTTTTCCGTTTTCGTTTTTCGTTTTGAGATCAATTGCACACGGGTGAGAGCTTTCCACTGCCTGCTATTTCTTTTTACTCTTTTTGCACTTTGAGATGAATACAAATTCCGCTGCCTAAGGGCCTTAGCTTTATATTTATCAAATTGGGGGCTATATAAACTATGGTATATATATCTGTAGTATCTGAGCATATCATTGGCGGCAGCAGCAGCACTAATCGAAAGATGTTTGGTTTTGCTTTATCTATATATTTTGCGACCAAATGGGGGACAACTTTCATAAACATTCGGTTGTTTTCAATGCAATTTACAAGTTACACTTTCTATACACATAGCAATAATAATATTAATAACATTAATAACGAATTCAGTCAAGTCAGTAAATTTGGTTTACAGAAAGAAAAAATACATAATTTATAAACTAAATGAAATAATAACGCTAGTAAACAATAATGAAGTTTGCAGCCCAAGTTTTCTGGTGTTGTTTTCTGCTTTCAATTTTTAAGGAATATTTTTTCTTTGCTGCGGTTCATGGCTATAGAAATACGTTTTACATTTAGATATACACTTTATAATAATTCTTTATGTATATGCTTGTAAAGATATCATGTATAGGGGTTATAACAACTAGGGTATTGTAATTTCAAAGCTTTGCGTTTTGAAACTTGAACTCACAGAGTATTTCCATTATATAATATATAATTTGTTTTAGTTTTGCATTTTTTTTTTTCATTAACATTTAACATTAACACGACAACGGCGGCATTTGCTGCTGCTTGGCCACTTTCGATACATATTTATAAATAGGTTTTTATAAATGTTTACACATTTTCTCATCTTGGTTTTATCGGCGTCCGCCAATAATGGGCGGAAGCGAAAGCAATCTGAAGGTGTTTGAGTGGGTGTAGGAAACGCGGGGGGAAGGTCGAGCAGGTTTTGCTGAGCACTTGATCATCGGCGGGCAATATCGGTCAGACTGAGGAGAGGTTCTCTTAGATGCCCACGAAGCCGTAGACCTCCAGCACCCGGATCTCGAAGTCGCCCGACGGACACAGCGGCGGATTGTTGAAGGTCTTGCAGCTGTCCGTCTTGCCAAAGCGTATGTTCTCGTCCATCCAGATGGCCTGGCCCTCGCTAACGGAGAAAAAAGTAGGCAATTCATTAGTTAATAGCCGGATATTATAGCCAGTTGCACAATTTACCCGCCACCAATGGTGATCATCTTTGAGTCGGCCGCCATAAACAGCTCGGAACTGTGTCCCAGATCCTTGTCGCCCTCAATGCCGACCCATGGGTACTTGGCTCGCTCTGGATATAGGGAGAACAAAAAGGTTTCGCCGGTGCCAAAGTAGGCCTGTCGCTGGCCCTTGTCATCCTTTACATTCCTTTCAAACCAGCGCGAGGAACAGTAGGCCCCGAATACCTAAAAGAAAGGATCATTGATACAATATTACAGAAATCTCTTCGGGAGAAAGTCGGGGAAAAGCTGAAACCCCCAATGTAATTTCCAGCTACCCTGACCCAACTGACCTCGAAATACCTCTCGATTCTTTACCCCTTAAATAAGTTACTCACCTCATTATTGCACGTCTTGATCATGAGCAGCGTGGGCTCGTGCTGCTCCACCCGGACGTAGAACGTGGTCAGCGAGCAGCCGTGCTCCTCAGTGGTGTATAGCAGCACCGGTTGGTACATTGTTATCCGCACGGGCAGCCAGGACCACAGCGTGAACAGCTATGGGAAGACGAAGGGGAGTTTTGTTAGCAACGCTTCTCTTAACCGGATTGCAGGCTTTAACTGGGCTACAACTACGAGTAACGTATTGAAAGGGGTAGCAATTAGCCAATGACAGAAACAAAATACGTTGGCGTGGGTAAAGTTGAGTGAAAGAACATGAACTTAAAGGCCAAAAAAATTAACGAGTAACAACTAAAAGCCAGGGTTAAGTAACATATACGAGGCAACAACTCTCGAAGAGGGCTAAAAAACTACATAGTAAACTACGGCGCAGTTCATATAAAACTGTAAGCAGCGGCGGCGGCGCGGCAGCAGCGCATCTCAAACTGTAAGCTGATTTATGAATTAATTTTTTTTTACGCAGCTCTTCCAATTCTCAGATGAACTGCCAAATTCTAACATTAAATGACGACAGGACGATGACACTATTACACAGATAAAGACTTGTCCAAATATTTTCTAAGACGGCACGGTATGGAAAACGGTTTTTCATAAATTTTGGATGGGAATTTCAAGGAATTGCATTCAATTTTTTAATGGAGTTTTTGGAATGGATGGTAATGGCAATGGAATAGAATGGGGAAAACAGGTTGGAGGGTTTTCAATATGCAATGCAATGCTTACAAATTGTCTATCCGTCCAGGTTTTTATGAAATTCTTTGTGCCCGGCAAACCAAAATGCTATGAAAAGATATAGATGGATATATAGCAAAAATTATATGCAATATGGCGGATGAGGTCTGGGGGGCACATGAAAACCACTTATAACTACACCGTTCCGTAGATACAGTTGTGCTAACTGGCTATCCTATACTCTTTGTTCTAAAATATCTGGCATAACATGAATAATTGTTTATCTTGTAACCCGCTCTTGGAGTTTTTCGATTACAATCAGGACTTTTGGAATCTTTTATGCCCTATAAAGGTTGTTAAAATGAATAAAACTTAAAATATCTTTAATTAAAACCGAAGATAGGCCAACTCTACTTTTAAACTGGCTAAAAAAATATTTTTTTGATTAAAACTGGCAAATTAATGCTAAAACCAAACAAAAATCAAAAAACTGAATCATTCAACTATTTTTTATCAGACTGAAAACGATTTCTGGCACTTCATGCAGTTTTTGTGGATTGAATGGTATGTGGAATCATAACGTGAGCCAAAAGCTTCCATAGATATTGGAGGTATATATACTTATAGTACGATTAAAAGTGTATGTTGTGTGGATATCTCAGTGGGGATTGTTGTTGATTGGCTTTTTATTGGAGTGGAGTGGACTTTGACTTTCACTTACATCTTCGTTCTTACAAGCTTGACTTTTCAGATTGTGTATGGGATAAACGCCCATTGCGATGGCTCTATGACCGGGCGACTTTTCGCCCTATGGTTTATACATAATCATGATGGATGAAATATTTAACAGTATGCACCCAAAATGCGGCAAATGAACCCGTGGAAATGTATTTCATCGATATCGAAAATATGTATACATTGATCAAGCGTACGCAAAATTTTATATGGTTTTTTGCAATTATTATTTTTGTAGTATCGTTAATATTCATTCATTCGTTGCCAAGGCAGCAAAAAAAGTACAAGAAAAATAGAAATAACGTTTTATATATATAGATTTCATATAAGGAGCAATTTCACTTGAGGATTTCGGTTTGTTTATGTATTTCTGTTTGTGAGTATTGGCTTTGCAATATAGTATATATTTTTTTTATTACAACAAAAAGCAACGAAAACGAATAAAAAGCTGTACTGTGTGGTTATAATAATAGATGTGGTTATTTTTGAGGCTGTGCTTTTGCTTTGATTGATAAGTAACGAAACGCAAAGAAGTTAGTTCATTCGGCTAAATAATAAGACAGAGATCAAACACAACACAATAAAAGTCAAGTGGCAGCAGAACGAACACAAAAATCGAGTCGAATCGGTTCTGGGAAGAGATATTGGGAATTAACTGGATTTAAACCATGAAATCTCGATCCAGTTGATTCCGAAAATGTACATTTCGTATATACACATACACATAATTGCCTTAAATTAAAAATATTAAAATATTTCCCTAATTTCATGCTTTTAAAACTCGACTCGTGAAACTTAATAAAATTGATAAAAAACTCATTCAAAGACAGTGTGGAAAGAAAACCAACAGAACAAGCAGAATCAATCGAACATCGGCATTATCAGTATTGTCTTTAATAATAATTTTGTATAGCTTTTTCCAGCCTCATACCAAATTGCGACAGCTCTCGGAGTGCAGCTTCTGGATTTGTTTATTTTTTTGGGTGCGTTGTTTCAGAGTTGAAGAAGTTGTGAGAGGAACATAAACAGAAAACGAATAAAAATAAATCAGAGTTTACCATTAGACCAAAGTGTTTGCTTGTAGTGCTGTGCTGTGTAAATAGTTTTATCTGGGGTCATTACTAACTGAAGGAATGCCTAACTCGGTTTCTGTTTGTATTCTGTATATAATCTGTATACCGTGTGATGGTGGGTTTTAGGGGGCGTGTCGAATAGGGGGATTTGGGGGATTATCTTCACATACCTCTCGGATGGTCAAGGTGTGCGACATCATTTGGATGTTGACCTGCGACTGACTAGTGGGCAGATTATCACTTGAACGCGATTTGATTAATTGCTTCGAACCGCTGGTAAGCACGGAACGGCTTTTTAGTAGCATTTCAGTCTTGATAAATATTCTAGAAATATACTGGGTACTGCAAGAGATGAAAGTGGGCATTACAATCTAATTTTCAGGGATTATAATTCTAGTGCTTAGCTACCTCAGTCCCCTAATACTAAACGCGGCATGGAGCAGCTTCGCCGGCGACACTGGTATCTTCTTGCAGAACTTGATCAGCGCGTTGCCAATGTCGTTTTTAATATTATCCGGACTCCATTCGTTGTTCGACTGGCACTCCTTGTGAAACAGGTTGAGTATGACGAGGGCCACGCGGTACAGGACCTTGATGCCCTCGTGGAAGTAGCAGTCCATGATCCGCACCAGATGCTGGAAGGGTAGACCCGCTAGAATCCACCAGCACCAGTCCATGAAGATGCGCTCAAGCTTCAGGCCCGGGCAAATACGTTGGAAATACGAAGTTGCACTTTTCTGCAAGGTAAAACTTTGGATTAGATGGGTTTACGAGAGTGAGGGCTCAGTACATACCGTGTGCTTTTTGGCTATCTGCATCACCGTCTTCCAGGTGACCTCATGCTGTAGTTTGGTTTGATTGATGAATACCTTCTCCTTGCTGCCCACCAGACCGGCCAAACACATGTATGCCTCCTCCTCTGTAAAATAAAAAAGAAAATTTAAAATTATAGGTTTAGTATGCATAGTGGAAGAATAATTATATCAATAGTTATTGCTCATTGAATGATAAATTTTTACAAACATTCCACAAGTTCTATATTTGTGATATTATTATGACAAACTATAATAATCACTGATGTAAAATATTTAAATATTAATAATCTGTTAAATAATTCATAAGTAAAACAAGCCCTTTTTTAATTGTGTTAATAGTCACTCGATCACTTTTTGCTTACGAACCGAACGTGTCGGATCCGTAATGTTCGATATTCAATACGCCCCGTTGCCACTTGTAAGTGAGATCGTATGGCAGTTCTCTTAACAATTATCTATTTAAAAGCATGCCTAGGCTGAGCCACAATTTATGAAGTCCCAGGCCCTGAACCCCAACCCCCTCCGGATCCGCTTTAAATTTAGTTGTGGAACTGCTGCAGCTTGACTTATGGCATTTGTGGTGGAGGAAAACGTAATACCAAGGTGGAGGCAGTGGGAGGAGATGGTTTTGTGTGCATATATATGTAGATATATGTATTGTGGAGAACTCTGAATTACCGCAATGACGCAGCGCAAATTAAATTGAAAATGCGTTCAACATCCGTCAGCGATGTGCACTTTGACCATCGTCGCCATCGCCATTTTTCCGCCCCTCTTCAATTTTCCATAATTAGCTGGCACAATTTTTTCCAACAACCCTGTATATGTGCGTTCTGATTATTTGATTTCCAAATTAGATCAAATTATGCAATGTCGAGGTGGTGGTGCTATAAATATCCTCTCGGAGTTTTGCTCGAGTTGTTTTTCAGACAGTCGTGAGCAAGTCATTTAGCGCACCTCAAAATATTTGTCAGGCATTTAAAATGTAATTGTATGTAATTAGCAATTAGAGTTCAATTGGGGGAGGGTGGGGAAGAGAGCGGACTTTAAATTCAATTTAGATACTGAACCGACTTGAACTTCTGCAGGGGCGATAAGAAGTCATCGGATTGATTTGCGGCAGCATTACAAAGTTTAATTAGTTTCAAATGCCGCAGGGTAAACACAAAGGCCTTATCAGTGGATTTTGCCGGCTTATCAGTGGATTACACTGGCCCCAGGCGGTTCCACTTAGTTCCCCCAAGATTGCTCTCAATTGCCAGCGGGGATTGGATTGGAGCAAAGTCTGGAGTGCCTTATATAGAGGGCTGAACTTTATCTGTTGCGGAAAGACGGCTAGTAAGTGGGCAAACATTTGATAAGTTTATTAAATATTTAAGGGCCCTGGCTATTTATAGAGAGCATGACGACGTACTTCAGTCATTGCAATCGCAATAATCTGCCAACATTTGCATTCAGCTCGGCACAATTCAACTTAAATTTAAAAGACCCCTCATCATTATTATCAGTCAGAACAAAAGCAGAAGTAAACAATTTCCAATTGAAATTAATCAAAGAACTGATGATGAGCAGAATTAAAGCTCTGGGAAAAGAGCACATGCCAAAGATAGAGCTGTAAACTATAAATCTATGATATCTATCTCCCAAGAAGCTTAAGCTACATTTAAATATAGACAAAGGTTAAATGAGATACAATTTAAAGTGGGTAGACGTCAGAGAGCACGTGCCGAGTTATTTATGATGCATAAGCCCGCCAAAAATAGCCAGAAGATAGTCTAAACACCCACAACCGAGATAGAAGAACACAGAATAGGAATCCATCTGCTCTTTCTGCTTTAATTAGCTCAACAAACTCAAACATAAACAAGGCAAATATTCCAAGACAAAAACAAAAGCGGAACGAAGACACACAGCACACTTAATAAATTTAAATAAAAGCGAAGATAACATTTTTGAATTGCTAATCGGCGGTTGCTAAATTTACCAGCTATGAAGAAGCTTGAAATACCCTTACAAGTAAATAGGTTTATCTCTTAGTTGTTTTGTGTTCTCCGATTGTAGGCGATAAGATACACAATCTTTATCTGTATCTGTAAGATTCTCCTGTAAAATTACAGAAAAACAAAAGACATAAGGGAAAGCCTTGAAAACCTTCCCCATTCAGTTTGTTTACAAAGCCTATGAATATGTACGATATAAAAAGGGTGGTCAAATGCAAATTGAACCAGGGGTTATATTCCAATTTTCACTCTCTACCTGACTCAAGACTGACGTCAGCATACCGGGCCATTAAAGCCAAGTACTGGAGAATATTCCATATATTTTAATCTGAATTGTGCGTGCCCGGCATTGCCAACTATGTATTTGATGTGATGATGAGTAGTCCATATAAAAATCGGGGAAAAACAAGTATGCACAAGGCGATAATGTTTGGGTAGGGCGCAAAAACACAAACAGAACAATGGGGAACCAGAATGGGGAATGAAGAATGGAGAAGAAGAAGAATAGAATTGGCAAACAAACCCATAAACAAAAGAGTACACATATGTGCGCATTTGCACGGTCTTCAGTCTGCGTTTTGTGAGTATTTTATGCTCACGTGTTGGCAGAAAGCGAAAACAACAAAAAAAATATGGAAGATTCTAGAACAAAAATAAAATAACCCAGCCATACTCAAAAGAACTGAAGTAAATCTTACATTTTAACCAATTTTGTTTATTATCTCCTCTGACCCATTTATACAAAGAAAGAAATGGAAATGTATCTTGTAGATACACAGCTACCTTAAATGCGTGTCAGTAAACTAAGAAACCGAATTGAGCCTTGAATTCTCCCAATTCTTTTTCTGTTTTCTGTTTACTTTAAGTGGCGAAATTTGTAAATTGCAAAAAAGAAGACGAATCAAACCGAATCGAATTGCAATGACGTCAACAACGAAATGCAAACAGACATATGCATATGGGCTATCCATATCACTTTAAACATTTGTTTATTTGCGATTCTTGAACTTGAAAATGCACAAATGACACACGAAAAAATGCGCCCAAGTGAAGAATATTCAAAGGCATTGATTGAACGCAGCGAAATTTTTAATTTTATTTATTTTCATATGTCTTTCGGTTTGATACTTTTTAGAGCTTTTTTACTCATATAATTTCAGAACGTGTCTGGGTACTTTTTTATGTTTACTAGCGTATTAAAATGTGTTTTAAAACTTTTAAAGCGTCGCAAATATATTGAGAATTTAACGAAACCACATAGTAAAACAGTAATTAAAGATAATATTTAAGAGCATATTTTGGCAGATTAATAAAAACCTAATCCGATTTCCTAGGAGGTAGGGAAGGTACCTTGAAATCTAGACAGGAATCCAATCTTTACATGTCTGCCAGACAGACAATCACAAAGGAGGACAAAAGTATTTCGCACAGTGTAAACAAACCTTCAGAGTGACAGACTGCCTGACCTCCTCCTCGAAAAATCAGCTTATCAACAGCTCCCACAAATAAGCGCCTACAAATGTACATATGTATACATAATTAAATTCCAAACCAAATCGAGATACTTTGCCACGGGCATGGGATAATAACCTTTGACAAAAACCTTTGTTAGATCGATAGATTGTCTTGATATTTCTATAAATGGAATCTAGTTTAGGGCTTTAGGGCCATCTGCAATTGATTAGATTACAGAGGAAAATACTTATCGCGATTAATGAGGGGTTATCAATGGGTCAGGCACATGACCAGCTGTCAATTCAATCTGGGGCTTAGACCTCCAGAGCAGCGATTCCCATGATGAACTTCCGATATGGATCTCTGAAGGTTGCAATAATATTTTTGTCTCGTTCCAGCTAAAATATCGCTCATTTCGTATTCAATTTTTTCCCCCCCATTCATTGATGGAGCGGAATTCAGCGGATTTTTACTCATTCCAAGTCTACACCTGACTGGATGAAACCAAATTCCGAGTAAACAATCTATACTGTAAGTTAAATATTTCATTTTGCTATTGTGCCGCCCAATAACAACAATGAAATAATGATTAGCTGATAATAAAGTAGTACGAAAATGTTTCAAAAACAACAACAAATGCGGAACTAAAGCAGACAGTTAGACGTTGATCATTTGACTATGGTCCAGTATAGTGCGGTACAGTACGGCCCATGAGTATATTTACTTATTTGTATAAACAAGAAAACACTATAAACTCTACAGGTTTGAATAAAGGATAACGAATTGAGAGAAATTAGCAGTAAATAAAGAAGTTTTCATTGGATTACACTTTTAACGTTCTTTTTAGGGATTTCTATGTACTTATTTCCCCATAGTGGCTTTATATGTCCTACAACATCTTTTTTTTACTGTACCCACGCTACAAAGTAATAGCAAGATTTACATTACAAATTATTTGGCAGCTCATTGCATGTTGGCCAAATCACTTAGCCAGAAAATCACGATACATCAATTTGCAACCATCTGCGATACGCGCCGAGAATCCCCTCCTATAAAGCACACATATATTTTGAAATATACATATAGGGAGGCCTGGAGTGTAGAGCCTTACAATTGTGCCAGTTATTTCGCTGTGTGCTTTGTAGAGGCGATAAAAATGACTCGATCAAATATTGACATTCACGTTTGCGCGATGGAGTGGAGTTGTGGAGTGTTGGCACCCCGATAACTTACCCGACATGAAATGCAAAAGTATCGATGTAATTGGATACAATACTGGACTGTAGGTAATATCGGGGCAGTCGTAGCCCAGGACATTCACGATGCGATCGGCCACGGCCCGTCCCGTGCTGGTCAAGTGGTAGGGCAAACAGTGGGTGGCGTCCACAAAGGCGGGCAGCATGATCGGCTTTTCCGATAGCTCCGTGGTGCCAAAGACCTGAAAGATCATGGAAATATACATTATTATATGGTATTTTGAATTTGGCTATGGCATGTGGCACCCACCTGGTGGACCATCTCCCAGTAGAAGCCATCCAGCATCTGCTGTTTGGTCTGGTGCTGGCCACACAACATCGGCCATAGCTGGGATCGGATGGGTGAGTTGATGGGCCACGAGTTCTCCCTGAGTATGTTCTTCACGTCACGTTTCTTGCCCTGTTGCAACAGCTGTTGGATCTCGGTGTAGGAGCGCAGTGCCGGCTCTTTGCCTGAAAACAAAGATAGGGAATACTGATTAGACATGGGGTTAGATTAAAGGTCCTCCGTGGGAGTAGACTATATGTATATATGTAGGGTATATCAACAGGTTCACCCCTGTCAAAAACAGTATTAACTTTAAAAACACTTAACTTCTCACTATTAATAGTGAATTTTAATACATTTTATTTTAAACAGAAATCCCTCTATTAGGTTTCTTTTAATCTCAACAAGTTTACACCTTAGCAGATAAACCTACTTAAAGAACAAACTAATTCCAGCTCTCAAATTGCAGTGTATATTTCTTTAATCTCCAAGCTAATACCACTTAGGTTAGGTCATTAACTAAAACTGAACCTCTAGCCATGCAGACTGTTTGTTCGAAAACAAACTCGGAGAGTCCTCAAGTGGCCGAGGCTGCCGTTTTTGGAATTTCTTGGCACTTAACTTCACGCTGGCAATCATATGACACGATTGTTTTTGTTATTATAGTTAATAATGGAGGTTCTTGAGGCTAGCACCTCTCTAGAGCCATTCAAATGGCAGTGCAAAGGAACCTTCTCCACTATCATCAAAGTCGCCAGGCGCTTTAGACCCGCACAGCTCAAGATATAAAAATACTTGTGAACCCATCGATAAGTAGTTAAATTTGGTGTGTAAGGCAGCGACATTACTCACACCCCAAGTGGTCAAAATAAAATACTTGAAAAGGTGCATCTGATAAGTTGAGCATTGATAAAAAGAATTATATTTACTTATGATGAACATGTCGCAACAATTTGGTTGGCCTCTGCCCAGTTTTCAGAAAGCTTCTCAAAACAAACTTTCCCACAATTAACACGTTTGACGTGGTTACTGTTTATTAATTCTTCTGAAATGGTCAGCTAATTGAAGAGTTCATATTTTTGGAAGCTTTCTAGGAAGAAATAGCCATATCAGAATATCACAAAAGGCTTAGATGATAAGTGCTTTCCTAAATTCGCAGGAAAATTAATTCTGTTTTTCCTTAACTAAGGTTATCTATCTACCATTAATGCAGCTGATTGGGAGTAAAAGTCTGGGGAATTATTTATTCAGTATGCAAGGGCATTAAAAGTGTAACTATCAGTCTTTCAACTTAGTACTGATAGTACATTTTTCTAATTAAGAAATAAGGTAATGCAACATTTTGTAAAATAGGTTTATTAAAGGCTTACTTAATAATTAAATAATTAAAATAAATACAAAATGTAGTAATAACAACATGATTTTGCGAAGGCCCTAATAAGATTGTTGACTCTACCTAATATAGCCATTTAACAGCAAATACTTTGTACTAAGTTGAACCCAACCCCCCGCACTTTTTCAAGCAGATGTGTCAATTAGGTGACAACCGTAGATCGACTATCGCCCCGGTCAGCTGGTCAACTGCGTATGTAGGACAATCCCGAGACCCCACCTCCCAGCAATCCCCCAACCCAACCACCCCTCCATCCGTATCTGGCCACCACCTCAATGCCACATTGAACCTCATCGGGGCTGCCATATTGATTAGCTATCGGTGTGGGGGTAATTGATTGCCCTGCGGACATGTCTCATTACAGGCAACGACAGCTGATCGATTTTTGCATGCCCACACTTCTTATCGCCGATAGCTGATAAGGTGGAAATCCAGCGAAAAAAAAAAGCGCCGGGCAGCCCCATATCAATATCGGTCTACAAATCAGATACTAAGTTGCAGAAGACCCACTGATTTATTTGCTCGCACACTTTATGGCGATTTAAACAGCGTTTAGAATGTCGCTAAAATAAAAATCTTTTTAGCATTGGGCCCAATAAAAGTTCGGGTAGAACTATCAAATTACTAGAAAGCGATAAGATATGGGGTGTGTGTGTAAGTGGTGTGTGTATTCATTGCAGCAAATGCAATAACAATAATAACTGGTATAATTGAGTGAGGCTTCGTTCATTCGCTGCGCCGTTTGTGGGGGTAATTAATCCCCATCTACAGCATCTCTCGGATCCATTTGCATTTTTCGACCGACCAATATGGAAATACTGCGATGTATATCGTCACCGTATATACTGCACATTCCATTTACAACAGATGCAGTAATTTTCCTATCAACGCAATCAACTTAATTTGCTTGCAAAAGTGAAAACAAACCTCACAAAAAAAAAAGTGAATCATAATTGGATATTATGTCAGTTTACGGACATACTTATAAATAAATAATTATCAAAGACAAAGCACTAACAAATTATTCACATATTTTAAATACGCTTAAGCCCCATTGAAATTGTGCAATCTGATTAAGAGCACAAAACGTAATGTAATTAAAACGGCAATTATATAGAGACCAAGTAGCGGATAACATTTGTATTAAAGCCGAAGCTTTTATCGCCTTTAGTATGATAATGAACTCACAAAACAAAAATATCATTCATTGTTTTCCACTACAGCTGGGAATTTGGGAAAATAAAGCAATATAATTCCGCCAGCTGATCGATTTTATTTTCTATTTTTTTTTTCGCACACTTTGTGCTTGAATTAAGTTTTATTTGGTGCTAAATATGTTTGGAAATTATTATGTTAAGCAAGGAAATCTGTTTCTACTTCTCAAGGCCGTATTTAAAAGCATCAAAGGCACTTTTCATACAAGGCTGTGTAACTGGAGAAAAACATTTTGAATAAACAGAATTTTTATAAATGGAAAATAGGTCAAGTTTGAGATTATAAATGTGTTTTTACAATCTTTGAAACTATCAAAGCAAGGTTAATTGTCAAAAACGGAAAATGTTCTCAAGATATTTTATAGTTCTTAACAAAATATTTTGCAATTGGTTTAAAATATGTATATATAGTAAAAGATAAGGCATTTAATAAAAACTGTATTACTTCTTAAAATTCTTTTTTATTAATATAATATGAACATGTATAACTATAAAGCGAATTCTGCTGGATTAGATAGACACCTAATAAATAAGTAAGAGCTAAAAATAAAAACTTTATTACTTCTTAAAATTATTTTTAAGGATTATATTAAGAAAATAAATAGCTATAAATCGATTCCTTCTGAGTTAGACATATACTTAATAGATAGCTTCTTGTCAGACTTATAAAAAACTTAAATTTACATTGTTCACTCTCTCAAAACCCATTTAGTTTCAACTATACCCATTATTTTTTTATTTTTATGGCTGGTTTTAGGTTTGTGTTTGGACTTTGGCGACTGATGGGCTGCGGTTGTGGTTTTTATTACCTGGACTGAACTGGAAGCACTGGCATTTGGTGGTGATGTCGTTCGAGCTGGCCGCGATGAAGAGCGGCAGCTCGAAGAACTTGTCGCACTCGGGATCGACGTAGACACTACTGCGCCGGCTACTAAACTGCTCCAAGTCTTTGATGCCCAAGACTTTGCCAACCATTTTTCACTCTATGTTCTCGACTCTCTCCTTTCGTTCAATTTGCGTTTTTTTTTTTGTTCGATTTACAGAGGGCTGCCTTTATTTTCTCGCCTTTATTTTATTGCTATTTTGTTGCTTTTTATTTTAATTTTTGTTTGTTCACTCGCTTTTTTGGCACCGAGAACGACATCATTTATGTAGATTTCAGTCTCTCTTTTTTGTCTTGCTTAATTTTTGTATTTTTTTGTTCACTGCTGCCTTTTATTGTTTTAATTTATTGCGATCTGCAATTTGCTGTCGCCTGAGCAGCGACGCCGGCAGCACTTGAATTTAATTTGCAGCACATTTAACATTTAAATTTAAATTTTCAGTTCACATTTTTTTTTTTCGTTGGCTCTGGTATCGAAATTAATTTCAATATTTTAACGAGGGTTGAACGAGATCATTAGGCATCCCGTACGAAATATATTTATTATTGGGGGGATCGCGTCAAAGCTAAGAAAATCGGGAGTACGGCGTATTTCTCGGATGGGTTTACGTGCGGAGCGTTCGGATGCGTTCGGGGTTCTCAGATATTTTCCGGCGGACGGGCCGGTTTCATTCCGTGGACCTTCTCAATGAAAGCTCCTCGAATAAATGAAACGAGAGCGATCGAAAAACCTGGCGCGTGCAAGCTTTGAAATGAAGCTTTTTCTCGGGGTCTCCGGCTCTTCTCTATTCTATTTTCTGATTTATATTTGTTTTCTTTATTTTCTCACTAGTTCTTTTTTTTATTTTGTTTGTTTGTGCATTTTACTATCGGGCGCCATAGAGCAAACAGCTGTTTTCTGTTGTCGTCCCACTCTCGAAGCGAAAAAAGGGGCAAAGAAAACATCCAAATCTAGTGTAAATTAACCTTTATAAATAGCTTTTGTGGGAAATTTCGTAAGCCATGGCGAAAAAAAGAGCTTGGAAAATCCCAGCCAAGAATAAATGTAATTCTCTGGCATTCCTGCGTATACGTAACATTAATTTATGAGCATTTTCCAGATACGTTCGCAAGATGGCGAGAAGAATTCGTATACCATAAAATAATATTTATGGGGTAACCTCAGTAAAAGGAATTTCTTTATTTGCATCAGGTAAAGCGATTTATGAAAATAAATTGGGGAAAGAAATAGCCACATTGAGGGGAAGAGAAAATTATTTGCTAGCCTTAATATTTATAGGAACATTTTCGTAGACTTTCTACGTAATGTGCATGTGTGAAAAGCTCATTAGGGTTGAACAGGTAAACAAGAGCGGATAAGTTGTGAAAACAAAGTCGGTAAGTATACGAAAATGTGTGTACAAGATTTAGCTATCGAAAAAAACTAACAATACTTCCGTTTCCTATTTTCCTAAGTCCCTTAAAAGTCGTAATTTTTAAATAACGTTACCCATTGTCATTAAAATTTGGTGCAATATATCATAAAGCGGAGAAAAAAATATATTTAAACAAGCAACACAAAAAACAATGAATCATATGATATTTTTGAAAAAACATCTAACAAGATACTTCTAATTTGTATACCTATTTAAGTTCACACTTCCAATTACGATAATTTACACCAATGGCTACCAGCAGGGACTGATGCCATTTTAC